CTGCAGGAGATTGTCTTGACCATGTCTACATGCCTAAATGCACTGAGTTGCCGCCATGTGATTGCCTGCTTAGAAATTAAGTGTTAACGAGCAGTGGAGCAGGTGTACCTAATAAAGTGGCCGGTGAGTGTATATAGTGGACTTTATAGCAAACTCAGTTAACCTACCGTTTGGAACGATGATCACTGCTTTTTGCTCCCCGTTGGTCAGGTAACTCCTCCTCCAATGCGCGGTGCCTGCGCCATCTTTGTTATTAGTCACCGCTGTTGGGTAGAGACAGCCTATGATGACAGCGGGCCGGTGTGACAGCAAATCCCATATTGCTTTGCAAGAAGAGGCGGACTTGCCAATTCCGGTGTTCTGTGGCAAATGCCAATCGAGCTCGACGGTGCCGGGCAGTGAGCACAGGGCCCACTAGAGGATGTCGGGCCCTCAGGCCACCCTCGTAAAGTCTGTTTCTGATTGTTTTGTCAGAGACATTCACACCAGTGGCCTGCTGGAGGTCATTTTGTAGCACTCAGGCAGTGCTCCTCCTGCTCCTCCTTGCACAAAGGAGCAAATACCGGTTCTGCTGATGGGTTGTAGACCTTCTACGACCCTGTCCAGCTCTCCTGGAGTAACTGCTTGTCTCCTGGAATCTCCTCCATGCTCTTGAGATTGTGCTGGGAGACACAGCCTTCTGGCAATGGCACGTATTGATGTGCCATCCTGGAGGAGTTGGACTGCCTGTGCAACCTCTGTAGGGTCCAGGTAGAACCTCATGATAACAGTAGTGAAAATGACCCTAACCAAAAGCAAAACTGGTGAAAAAGAGTCAGAAAAGATAAGGAGGGGAAGAAATGTCAGTGGCCTCCACCTGTAAAACCATTCCTGTTTTGATAGTTGTCTCGTTGTTGCCCCTCTAGTGCACCTGTTGTTAATTTCATTAACACCAAAGCAGCTGAAACTGCTACTTATCTCACCAAATCAATATCCCAGAAGTTTAATTAACTTGATGCTTTACTCTGATTACAAAGTGTTCCTTTATTTTTTTTAGTAATGTATCCATCCATCCATCCATCCATCCATCCATCCATCCATCCATCCATCCATCCATCCATCCATCCATCCATCCATCCA